TGCAAAAGAAATGGCAAAATGAGGGGTTTTCAGATCAATATGCTAGGCTTGGATTTTTTCCTTGAAAATTAACAGAAAGCTAGACATCATATAAGACTCCTAACCTAAAAATTTCAGAACATTTGGACGTTCCAATTGTTTTATACAATTTTTCAGAGTTTAAGGTCATATGGAGCATGTTTCAGTTCAGATAGCTACATGTCGAGTTAGGACTTGAAATTTTTACAGCATGATAATGATAATCAACATAAAATTACCTGAACCTCCACAAATCAGAGCAAATGGCAGGGTAGATTAATTTATATCATTGTTCAAAGAATCAGAGCAAAACAACACATTCTCAGTTCAGGCGCCTACATATCGATTTAAATTTTAAAATTTTAACAACGTACTCAACAAGAAAAAGGGATCCTAACCTTAGAAAATTAAGCAAATTGGACGAGTGGATCATTTAATAGCAATTTTCAAAGATTTAGGGCAAAAGAAGCTCGAATCAGTTCATATATCTACAAATCAAATCAACTCATTCCCTTTCAACACAACAAGGACGAAGGATCGATTTTTAATGGTTTTTGCAAGTTTCAGAGGCATACATGACTTCAAAAATTCATAAAGTCATCAAAACCCAATGAAATCGACTAAGACCTTCGTCATCAGGCCAAGGACATCCCATTCCACATGAATTCCACAAGAAAAATCAAGATCCATTGATTTCCTCATAAATAAAATAGACCCCAACATAAAAATAAATAGATTTAATCATCAACATATATATTCATCTCAACATCATAAAAAACACATCATCTTAGAGGAGGAACAAGCCAAAATACCGTTCACCCAAGGAATCCTCAAGCTAGGGTGGCGGTTGGCTCTGCTAAAGGCCTCGGGCGGCTAGGGCACGGCCTCGGCGTGGTTGAGGTGTCCTCCGGCGGGCAGGGCAGCGATCGATGGCGAACAAAGGGCGTCTTGTTGGCCTTCACGGTGCTCGCGGTGTCCAGGGTCGAGAAGGGATGGCCTGGTTTCGGTCGCGTGTGGGGTGTGCTCGCGGCGATGGCGGGTACGGTTTGCTCGCGGGGAGTGATCGCCGAGAGGAAAGAGGCGGGGGTTTTGGTGAGTGGTGGCGATGGATTTGAAGTATCTGATGACTTCCTTGCGTGAAAAGAAAATGGAGGAGATGGGGATTGAGAGGACTTATGCGTGTGGTTATTAAGACAATAAAGGAGGAGGATTATTCCACATAAATGAGAAATAATGCACTTGCCAAATGAGGGAGTATTGATGGCGGGATTCATTGTCAAAGGAGCTCCACAAAATCAGATTGGATCCCTCTCCAAGTCCTACTAAAATTATCCAAAGTAAGGATTCAAAATTTAAAGTGCTTGAGGAAAAATCCACACGTGAGGGTAGGGCGGTTTTTTGCCAATTGGGGCAGGTTTAGGGTCATTAAAAAGGGGCCGAACCATTAGCATATGGGCTGGACTAAATTCTCCAGGCTTAAGTACATACATGTCTGGGTAAAAGACACAATTAACCACCTAATAAAAAGAAATTCCATTAAAACACCATGACATACTGAATTCCAAATTTGTCTCAAAAGGAAGTTACAAATAAAACAATTAATTTAAAATTTAAAATCAATAACTGTTTTATCTCTCTTCCACATTTTATTCTCTTTATTCCTTCTCTCTCTATTTTTCTTTTCACGTTTTTTCTTCTCTCTTCTTCAACTTATTTTTCAATTTCTTCTTCAATCTTCAACACCTGAGAATAAAAACAAAAATAAAATAAAATAAAAAAGATTGATCAATACAATTAAATTAATTAAAAAGTAATAGAAATATTTGTTATTGTAACTTAAAAAAATTAATAATATATATTATGACAAAATCAAAAGTAACAATAAAACAACAACATAACATTTATCAAACAACATGAAAATAACAATAAAACAACAACATAACATATATCAAGCAACATGAAAACAACTATGTATAAATAATAAAATATTATCTCTTGATTAGTATTTATAAAGTCACTCAAATATTTGTATATGCAAATCCATTTCCCAGAAAAACACTAACTCTCATATAAATTTATAAATTATAAGTTCATAAAAAAGAATCTTTTGCTTAACCACAAATTTACAGCCACATGTTTAACTTAAGTGACAAAGCTTCATAGTGCGACAATGTATCAGGATGGCACAAATCAATTGCCGCAAGCAAGTATACAAAATAAGACAAATCAATATCCTTCAAAAATTGAAAACTAAAATTCGACATCTACTTTCGCAAAAGCTATAATTCAAACCACATCTTTAACATACACTGAAATTTGATAAATTTACAAACAATTCAACTCTGAGTTTCCAAAATAAATTTTGGGAAAAATCAATTCCAGAACCCATTTTTGGCCGCACAGATTCGATAAAAATAGAAAAAACACATCAAATTTTACCAACATAGTTTAATTAATTCCAAAATCAATTGTTCGTTAAACTAAAATCAATTTACACAACAAACACATAAGGATTGGAATCTATTCTTCGTTACCAGAGCTTGGTGGCGGTGGACATGAGCTTCAAGTTATGAGTTACAACTTGAGCACTACGGTGGCCGCCGGGAGGGCCCTATTTGGTTTTGTTCTGTCTGTTTAGGGGCCTAAACAAACCGTTTGTCTCGATCTGTCCAGATTGGAGCCTCGATTTCAAATATTTTCCTTCAAAACGAGTCGGAACCACCCACGCAATATTTCAATCGCCGATTGTCCAGATTGGAGCCTCGATGTCAAATATTTTCCTTCAAAATGAGCCGGAACCACCCACGCAATATTTCAATCGCAGATTTTGATCGCTGGTTTATTGGGAAACACAATACAAAAAAATTTAGTTTTTTCACGAGTGTGCGCGTGAATTTAGAAGAAGAAGAAGAGGAAAAGAAAAAAGAGATAAAGAAATGGAGGAACAGATTGGGGAAAGAAAACTGATCACCTGTGATAAAGGAAAAGAAAGAAACGTGTAAAAAGAAAGAGAAGAAACGTGAATAAATAATTTAAATAAAATAAACAACCGTCATATTTTTAATAGCCCTGTAATCGTCCATAAAAAGAGTATAAATGGAAACAGAAGGCAGAGTTTCGTCTAAATAATAATTAGGAATAATTATGTAAAGTCTCTAAGTTAAAGGATAAGGGGTGTCATTAATTCTACATGTCTCCATATTGTTTCCGTAAAGACAATAATGGGAGACAGTGTTTAATTACCATTTTAATTGTTTTAACTTTTCTTAATTCCGAAAAGCAAGTAAAGTACATAATGTGACTAGTGCGTGGCCCGTGCGATGCACGGAAAAAACAATATTAAGATTGTAATAAATTAAATATAAAATAACATTAATCATGATTTATCTATTGTTTTTAAATTAAACCGTGTTGGACACAGTCTGACCGGATGGACTGAGAACCGGTTTATAACCAGTCTAGTTTGCTTGAATAAAATATTTGCTCTCAAATCCGTCAACACCAGTCGGTTGGACTGGTAGGATTGATACGATTTTCTAAATAAATTTTGTTATATTTAAAATTATTTTAAATAAAACTACATATTTAAATAAAATAGAGATTTATAAATTATTTATCAATTTGTTTAAACACTTGAATTTATAAATTGTTTAGATATCTAAGTAACACATTTTATTTAAATTTATTACAAAAGATACTATATATAGCTTGATAGTTTGAAAACCTTATATTTACTATACATTAATAAATATTATAATAAAATATTATTTAATTCACATAAATATTAATAAAATGATATATAAATATTCATAAATCATTAAACATGTTGTCATAAAAGTATTGTTAATACGATTATTTGAAGTGTCGACTACATCACATTCATGTAATAAAATATTTTCATTATAAAATTTATATTTAGGTTCAATAATCGATTTGGTGTGGTCGAACTGATACATAACTTAATCACTTGGGACCAACCATGTTGTGTCAAGTTTTTTGACTATTTTAAATATCACATAAAAGTAATTCAATCAACCTGGGCAGTACCCTAATTCAATCATCCAATTGATCCGAACAAATTTTCTTATTTTCTTTAAATATATTTAATTTTATGAAATAAAAATATATTATGATTCATATAATAAATGTCTACACCAAATGATAGTATATTAAGATTATAAATTATATATCTAAAGATGAATTAATTATTTTTACTTTATGCATATTATAAAAAATAAGCATAGTAAATTTTTAAAAATTAAGATTAATTGATTGATTATGCAATTTAAAGAATAGTTTTAGCGTACATTTTTTTTTAAAAAGCACAAATATAAAGACCGAGATTCTAAAACTTTTGTTATATTTTGAATTAAGATTTTATAAATATAGAGACCGAGATTTTTAATATTGTTGGTTGTTTCTAAGAAAAAATAAATATAAAAACATACACACTTAATAAATATTAGTCGGATTTTTTAAATAATAAAATAAATTAAAGCTCGAAATTTAAGGTAGCATTTAATATTGTATGATTTTTAAAGAAAAAATAAAAAAAATAATAAAACTTACTATTTATAGGCTGCATTAAATTCTGACTATTTTTTTGCTACTATTTTTGGTAAATGTTAATTCTTATCATATATATACAGATGATATTTTTTATGCTTCATTGCTTTCCTAATAAATTGCATGTAATCTCTCATCTTATCTCTTTCGTAAATATCTTCTAACATATTAGTTATAATCCATTTTGTGCCCAAAAAAAAAATATATATATATATAATTCATTTCTAGCGAAATGAAAATAGGTATTTTTGCTATTATATATAGCCTACAGGATTAAACAAATTTATTAATTTATATCTGTTGCTCGCCTTACGATATATCCAATTAACGTCCCAAAAGCCAAAAGCCAAAAAGCCTGCCCCATATGTTGGGGAGGGGAGGCGAGGGAGATAAAAAATATAATAATATAAATGTAGATTTTCCTCTCTTTTCTTTTCCCGAAAGGAAAAGATCCAAGGAGAAAAACAATCGATCAATCCCTAATCCAACCCCTTCCCTCTAAATTATGCGTTTTTCATACCTCCTCACATCATCGCCCCGTCCCACGACGGCGTCCTCCTCCTCCTTATCCACTGCAATCCCGCCGTCGCCGCCCCATCTATGAAATCGCATCACCACCACCACCATCTCCCAAATCCATTGCCCCCATCCCCATCCCCATCCCCATCTCCGTCGCCGTCACCGTCACCGTCTCGGACGCCGCTCCTTCTCCTCCCGGCGTTATTCTCCTCGTCCTCCTTAGATCTGACCACAATCCTCTTCATCGCCGCCTTCCTCCTCCTCTCCCTCCTCTCCCTCTCCTTCATCCTCTACCTCCGCCTCAAATCCCGGCGTCTCCACCATCTCGAGAATTTCAATTCCCTGTGGACCGTCCGATTGCTGCTCGTCCTTCTCTCCGCCGCCTGGGCGGCCAACGAGATCCTCCGATTGCCGGCGGTGAGGAGAGAGTACGTTTTCTCCTGCAAAATTCACGTGATTCTCTCCCTTGGCCTTCTGGAGCCGAGTTTCCTGGTGACCCTGCTTTTCCTAGTAAATGTCTCAATTAAGAAGAAGAAAAAGAAGGGAAGCTGCAGCTGCCTGATGGCGTCCATTGTGTGTTCCCTAATGACGCTGCTGCAGGTGGTGTCGGTGTACTTGTCACCAGACAATGACGATGAAGACCAGAATATGCTCTGTACTTATCCCTTCCTCAGCTGCGTCCTCTTCGGGGGATTTGCTGCGGTTTACGCAGTGGTGTTCCTGATTGCGTGCTGGCGGGTGATGGCTGTTGTCATAAACAAAGGGATGAGGAGAAGGATTGGGGCTCTGGTCTCATCTGTAATCGTGGCCCTCTCGGTGCAGATAACATGCCTCATTCTTTCGTGCCTTCTCTTCCCAGAGGACACCGTTTATGGCTTCCTCGTGCTTGCCATGTTCATCTTCGTCCTCGGGGCTATGGCCATTGGGGACCTCATACTCATAATCACTCCAATCACACACGCTCTACAGCTCAACCCTCCGCCCTTGTAGCCAAACAAACCTCTNAACTTGATTTTCATCCGTGCGTGCGTGTGTTCTTGTTGATTTCTGACTATCCCTTCAAATTAATTGCTGTGTTGTGTGCTGTGCTTCAATTCTATCAGCTGTATATAATTCGAATTGGGGATGGATGGATGGAAGTTGTTCTGTACCTACAGTTTTTGCATGGTATTATTATACTTGGAAACTTTTAACAAACAAGTGAAGTACCAAAGATGAGATAATTGCATACTCAGTTCGTCTCGTGTTAAATTCTCAACATTTATGTGAGGATTAAATATGCTTAGATGCCTAAAAGTTGATTGCTCTTATGGAAATGAGGATAACCTAATTACTTTACATTTTCCCATTGTTGGGCGGAAAAGGTAAAAAACATTGTGTGTTCATATTTTGTATTTTAGGACAGCAACTTGTGATTCTGGTGGAAATTACTTTTCGTCCTCCTGTCCTGTATTTTACATGACACAAGCAGGTCATGAGCTAGTATAACAAGTTTACTTGCATCTTCATAATGTGAATATAATTACACTCTTTGTAAAACAACTAAGATATGAAGTGTAGATTAGCTTTGGCCAAACTTAGAATGAGTGCACTAAATGTGTACAATTATTGAGTTGGTGATTTTAAGTCCCGCCCAATCTGCAAAATGAAGTTCCTATGCAGGTAGAGTTGATAATTAAAATTCCCGCCCAATTTGCAAAATGAAGGCTTTGGTTCGAGTGCATTTGTTTCAAATATTGATTGTGTATTTGTTTATGAATAAACTCAATCAATACTCAAAATTTAATTCAATTTTAACTCAATCTCACTATCTTTAGCATTATCATTATACTTAAATATTACTAATCAGTTATTTTCACACATCACATCAACTTTAATTTACTCTTCATGCACTCACATAATTTTGACTATCACTTCACATCATTTTTCTCTTCGAAAATGCTACAGTACCGTAATGAACTATTCCTCTTACTAAAACTCTAATAAAAAATTGCCATGTCAGCATATCTTGACTACATCTAAGGTATTGAAGTAAAAGATGTAATGACTTATATTAGAATGAGGGAATCATTCCCCACGACATTGTAGCTCGCACCTTATTTCATACTTTTAATCAAATCAATTTTAATTATTTTATTTTAAGTATTAATAAACAACTAATTATACCACCTTCTTCAAAATTAACTCTGATTAACCAAAAAAATCCGTTTTGAGAGGATAAAATGATATTAGCTACGTCTGCAACCGAACCGGTCCTACTTTTTAGATTTACTCATTTATTGTGAAATGATGATCAAACATAACAAAGTTTATTAATTATATTGTTACACGAGCTAAACCATGCATTAAAATATTAGCATTATTTAATACATGGATAATTCGGCGTGCACCTCCACCAGCGACAACCACTAGTGGACCAGGCGCACACTGGCGGCGAAAGGCGGCGGCACCCAACGACCACGACACATAGTAGCGCGACTGCGCGATGCCTGTAACACCTCGGCAGCGCGACCTGACGATGGCAGTGTATAGCGTCTCCCTCGGCGACGCTCGACGATCCCCTAGAGATTAGTGGGAGGTGTTCAATGATTCGACGAAGCTCAGACGATCTCTATTAAAGGAAATCAGAAACGTCTCGGAGTCTGTGAATTTTTAAAACGTAAGTCCTCAAATCCTATCAATCGATTCCGATGCGATAGGAATAAGTTATTCGAGTTGCACATGAGTCGACGTTCTTAACTGAACCAACATTAATTTCCATCTTTGTGATAGCAACTACGCTAATTTGGTTAAGCATATTCTCGAGTCACGACACAGTTGGAAGTCGGACAGGTTCTGGTTAGCAGGGGAATGGAGAGGACGTCGGTCATTGGGTTGGCAAGAATATATGCCAATTTTCTTTGTGGAAAAAATCCATAAGTAGCATTGTTCTTCCTTTTTGTTGTTTATCGATTGTCATAATAATCGGAAATATATAGAGTTTTATTTTTTTTACAGTAGACAATAAGACTACTCCGCCTATGAATGCGATTTTTGCTAAGAAGTTGAAGGACATATTTGCTTTGGCAATCCCTTAGCGGAGTTGCCGCGAATTGTGCGAGAATGAGGAGTTGATCAATGGAAACCTTCATCCAGGTTTTGGCAATACTTCGATCGAGCCAGGTAAATCGCCGATCCCTATGGGGGTTTAAGTGAGGTCTCCATTGAGGACGAGTTTACGAAGGAGAGGCTTGTAAGCGCCGATCGGTGGGATCACCAAGGGATCTACAAGTAAGACGGCGACAAAGAAAAGAGTCATCGGGTCACGATCGTCCTTCATCCCTTCTCGTAATGGTTGAGATAGAGACTGGTGATGAGCCAGTGCAGGGGGAATCGGAGCCAGTGAGAGAGGCAATCGTGGAGGATCGTCAAGTTTTGCCTAGGAGAGATCGCGTGGATATGCAGGAGAAGGTCCATCGTGGCCCGTCGGGAGATGATCGTTAATATTATTCGTAGGGGGATCGCCAGGGCCTGCAAGATCATCTTGGACTGTAGAGAGAATATTGTCTGGATCGGCAGGTGTCGACTATCAGGATTCACAAGGAGGAGATTGTTAGAAGAAGCCAGATCCTCAAGGCGAAATAGAGGGATCGATCGCACGGGGGTCGTATGGCGGATACCTTCTCCACAATTGTCAATGTTTGGACGCCGTGAAAGATCTAGAGGGTTTCATGCCTGAGTGGTAGTGTAACTTTGTTTTGGCAGAAACTCCTCAAATCCTAAATCATCACGAGGTGCCGCAGAGGGTGATGCAAACGGCGACTTTGCCCGTGATGGCTCGAATCCAGGGGCTGCAGAACTTGGTGTCGTCGATGTCATTAGCGAAAATATGCCAGTTGTTTATGGATGATATGGACGTGGTCCTAGGGTCGATGGTGCAAGGGACCGCTAAGGCTCAAAGGACCTGTTCCAAGTTGAAAAGAGTCAAAGTGGAGCATGCCCAATGCAGAGATCGCGAAAACGTACTAGCGTCTTGTCTTGATGAGGTGGGAAACATGTATGAAAAAGTCTTCAATGATTATGCCGTTTTCACTGTAGAGAAGGATAGCCTTGAAGTGCGACTAGAGGAGGCCGATGGTAGACATGAATGTTGTCTTGGTGAGTTGAGGCAAGAGATTGACAAATTAAATAATAATCATACCGCCATGGTAGATCGCCTAAACAAGATGTTGTTCAAAGTTTAAGAGGAACTTGAGAGAGAGAATCGAGGCCCAAAAAAATTCTGATAGGGCGCCGCGTCTTTTCATGAAGGTTTAAAGATCGAGTTAGCTAGAGGAAGAGATGTTGGCTTCCAAGAACGGAAAGAGATTGGTCATGCCGAATAATATATGTTAGGTGAGAAGAGAGGGATCGAGATAGGCAAGGAGACGGCGAAGGGTCTTATGGTGAAAATGGGGTCCTTGCAGAGACAGAGAGAGTGGATGCCATTCGGTGGGAATTGAAGACCCTAGAGCAAGGCTAGTACTTGGACTTAATCAAGCGTGTCTACCCCTGGAATAAGAACCGTCCATAACTGACCTAGGATGAAAAAAGTGAACTAGACTAAGACGCCGATGCAGTACTTAAGGAGCGGGCAGATCACCCAATGCAGGCAAGGCCGATCTCTAAGTTTGATCCCAGCTTGGCAGTGGTGCGGCAAACATCTTTAGGGTTTGATACTCCACCAGGAGAAATGACTTTAGCAGGCCAAGGGAGGCGCCTCTAGTAGCAGAAAGGATTTTATCGTTCGTTGAGTTGTCTGTAGTAGTTTGTTTTGAAAAGCAATTTGTAGTAGTTTTGGCCTACGTGAGACCTTTTCTTATTTGTGTGTAGCCAATGCAATGCTTTAAAAACATACGTTGATGTTTCGGCCGATATATGGCCTTTTGAAAGTTTGATTAATAAAATATCCGTAATTATAATTGAAATAGTGTTTTATCAGGAAAAGTGTAAGCGATTGACGAGACTGTGTTTGGTTCAGCGCAACATATTTTTAAATTGGTTCGGTCGCAGCATGTTTATTGTAATTCGACCGCAACATATTTTAAAATTCTATATATTTTCTACCCTTAATCATGTTCTCTGTACCATCTATATCTATATAATAAGAGTAACCATTTACCAAAAATAGTTGCAAAAAAAAAAATACATAATTTAATGCAACCCATAAATAGTAAGTTTTATTATTATTTTTTATTTTTATCTTTAAAAAATCATACATCATTAAATGTTGTCTTAAATTTTGGGCTTTAATTTATTTTATTATTTAAATATGCCGACTAAGAACTATTAAGTGTGCATGTTTTATTTTTTTTTTCTTAGGAACAACGAACAACATTAAAGAATCTCAATTTAAAAGGCAACAAAAGTTTTAGAATATCGGTCTTTATATTTTTTACTTTCAAAAAAATATTGAACGCTATTATTTAAATATCATTTTTCACAAATCATCACAATTTATTTATTTGGAACGTGTGATAATAACTTGGTAATATTTATCAATTATTTTGTTTACCAAACTATTGTTTTCTTAACTCAGTTTCAAAAGGTAAAATAATTTTCAAATTCTCAGTCTCAATAGTTGTTCATTTAAAAAAAAAATATTTAATAATAATATATTATTTGTTAATAGTACACGATTTTGAAAACTCCATTATAAATTGTATGTTTATATCTACATCATTTTATAAATGCAATCGACTTTGTTAAATCTCCACGAAAACATGGTAAAACAAAATGAGACGATCAACTTTGTATGAAAATAAAATAAAATCAGTAAATCAATATGAAGTTCACAGAAAAAGAACATAATTAGTCATTTGAATAGTACACGGATCTCAAAATCAATGCTCACGTGGATTCTAAAATTCAAGCTTATACTTATCATCATCTTTTGAAAATTGAATAATATATTGTAGGCAAGATTTTTTTAAATCGTTTTAGACATATTTTCTTTACAAAATAGTTTAGAAGAATTTTAGGTGACTTCACATCTTTCAATAATGATATATAAAATTTTAGATACATTACATACATTATATAGTATTTTAGGTGTTTTTAATAGATTTAAAATATATTTTTTATGTTATTTTATACAAGATAATTTTATATTGTGTACAACTGATATACGATAAATTATGTCAAGAAAAATGCTACAAGTACATAATAAATATACATAGAGGTGTACATAACACTCACATGGAGTGGGGCCTACTTGATTTTTTATTTTTGGTCTGTCCCACTCAATGTGAGTGTTATGTATCCCCTATGTACAATATTATGTACATATAATATTTCTCTTATGTCAAATATTAACTCCATATCTTAATTTATAATTATTAGTTAATATTGTTTAATTTCATATTCAAATTAGAATTATTAATTAATATTATTTATCATCTCTTTTTATTTATAATTATTATTTAATATTGTTTGCCCGTGCATCGCAGTTTATAATGATGTTAGTTGTTCTTCTAGCATAAAGTTGGCTAGGAAGACAACTTGTTTGCTTCCCCATTTGGACTCTTTTTATTTTTTTTGTTGTAGGGAGTTATTCTCTTGTCAACCAATTGGTTGGACGTTTATACTTGTTTGTCTTAGCTATATGAATTTTTATTGTAATGGTTTGAAAAAAAAATAATAGATTTTAAATTTTTAGAAAGTTTTAATCTCAAACTGTTGATATCATATCACTAAAACAAAAGAAAATTATATTAGTAGAAACAAAATAATTAATTGAAAAATTTTGAGAAGTTTATAAATTTAGATAAATTTTTTATATGACATTACCTAAAATAAAAATAAAATTGTTTTCATGGATGGTAAAGAAAAAATTACTAAAATAAAATAGAAAAAAAAAGTTGAAAACAATGTTTAAAATAAATTTTTATTTAGTAACTAAGAATATTTTCTAAGATAAATAAAATACTATTTTTAATAAATACAAATTTTTTTATAAAATTTGGAATCACACATCCACTTCAAGTTACATTTTAATCATCAAATAAAAGGAAAAGTAAAACAAAAATCAAATGACAAAAGAAGAGGGAGCTCAGAATTTATTATCAGAGCAGTGACCAGCGGAATTTAGGATCAAGTAAAGCCAAATAATCTATATATATATATAGAGAGAGAGAGAGAGAAGGGATCATATGAGAATGGTAGATAGTGAAAGAAATAAGAATGATTATATACCATTGGATCGGTACGATCAATGGACATAATTAAGTCAAAATTGATTTAAGAGGTCAAACCTGCAGTGGGAAACCTTTAAATAGATTATTATATCATGACCAAATAAATAACTAGAAGGGCAGTGTTGTAATTTTATCAAACAACAAAAACAGTGGGCCTCACTCATTAAAAACAATTCAATTTCTCTCTCCTCTCTCCTCTCCCCTCTCTCTCTCTTCTCCCCGTTTTTCTCTTTTCTCTCTTCTCCATTCTCTTCTCTCTCCTCTCTCCTCTCTCCTCTCTCTTCTCCCTCCTCTTTCATTTTCTATCGCTCCTCCCTCTCTCCCCGTCGGTCATGTCGCCGCCGTCGACTGAAGACGCCTCCCAGCAAGACCGTCGTTCATCTCGCCGCCATAGACAGATCCGATGCCGCCACCTTACGCAGATTTCGGCGACTCGTCCAGAGCTCACGGTGTCTATTCCAACGCCGACGGCCATAACAATCGCCGCCGTCAACAAACCTCCACCACGCGTAACCGGCCCACGCCAGCTCCGCCACCACGCACACCGGCAAAGTTGCAGGTATCCGATGGCGAGAACCACCACCGCCTGCCGCGCCACCTCGCTGGACTCGATCGCCCACACTAAGCCAGTCGCTGCCACAGCTCCGTCTCCGGCAGAAATACATAGGAGAAAGGGGATTTGCATTTTCCAATTTGAAGCTCTTTTTTTTTTGAGAATTTGAAATATTTAAAGGAACTCAATTGTAATTTTATAAACTTTGATTTATTACAATTCAATATATGGGTTAAATTTATAATTTATAAAATTTTAAATATTGCACATTAATGCTATGTAAATTGCACCTTAACGATCATTAGATTGCACGGTAATGTTATGTAAATTGCACATTAATATTTTTATCTAACATTTTATTTATTTTAATTGAAAAAATAATAGTTTTATAAAAAAATATAAAAAATAGTATTTGTTTAGTATTTTTACTATTTAAAAAATAAAAAATAAAAAATGTCATTGAATCGAAATAACTAAAATTTTAAAGGTAAACACACATAATTGATCTGACATAAAATTCAAATACAAAAAAACCAAGTCAGTCGAGTTCGATCGATATAGTGTAATCTGCCAGTCACTAATGTGCAATCCGTCTAACTTTAAAGTGCAATATTGAAGATATTAACGTGCAATCAGTCTAATACTAGTACGTATTCGAATTGCAATTATTTTTTTATAAAAAAATATATTTCGTATTAGTAAATTTTTTAGTTAATAGTTCATATTGTTGTTTGATGAAAAATAAATAATATATATATATAGACGAAATATAAAAGTAATATTTTTTTATGTAGTTCGATCTGTTATTTAAAATATGTAGCTTTATAAAGTCCAACTTGTTGTTTTATAAAATGCAATATTCTGCTATATAAAGTGCGATAAAAAACTAGTTTTATTATACATAATTGTACATCGAATTAAGCTAAATAAATAAAATATTTTTTTATTTATTATTTTTATCACATAATTTATTTGTTATTAGAAATTATTTATATATTTCATATTTGATATAGCCATATAAAGATATACCGGCCCAAAGGCTCCCTACTCGACCGGATAGTGGCTCAAACCATTCGGCATGTCGACATGCACTCGTCGACATGTTCAAGTCGACTTCCTCCAGGTCGACTCTTAACAAGATTGATGATAAGAAACGGCAGATCCCATATAAGTCGACTTGTAGAAGTCGACATTGTTCAGTCGACCTCCTTGAATCGACATCTATCTGAGAAGATCAACAAGAGCGTAGCCTTCGAATAGCCAGAAGATCCAAGGTCGACTTGTTCATACTCGATGTCGACTCTTTGTACCTCGAGTCGAGAGGCATTCTGACGATTCCATACACTTGGTATGTTTCTTGGAACCTCTTGTCCTTCAATGAATAAGAAAGAATCTTGAGATGACTCAGTAAGAAGGGGAGACGAATCGACCGGGGCAATTTAGACCTTTTAGGTCCACCGATTTGGGCATTCCGGGAACTTCAAGTAAGTATTCACTCCTATATAAAGGAGATGAGGTAACCCTAAACCCTAACTCTCATTCATTCCACACTCTCCTCATAGTTGCTGCGCAGCATCCCTTCATCTCTCTGATACTGACTTGAGCGTCGGAGGCTCTACGCCGGAAACACTTCCGGCGTTGAGTTTTTGCAGGTATTCTCGCGGTCTAGCAACGATTCAGAGGCGGTTCAAACAGATCTTAGCTTAAATCCATCGGTTCTCTTCATATCTAGAAGTAGACCCATCGTATTAGCGCCGTCTGTGGGGAGTTCTTGAGGAAGTAAGAGCTTCACACCTAGCTCCGATCTGTTTGTTGATGGCTGAGAAGGAAGGTTTGCAGAGGAACTTGAATGAAAAGTTTAGGGGAGCATGGACGGACAAGGGGCCACCACCATTTTCCACCCCAAGACACCCAGTGATGCAGATGATGGGAATGCCACCATTTGGAGGACCTCCACCACCGGGGTTGACTCTAGGTGGAGAAACACCTGTCACTCCCTCCGGAG